ACAAGGGATATCTAAATACAGACAAATTTGAATTACCATTTCTTAATTGTAATGTTTTATTTGTTCCTGACTACCTTTAATATTAAAATTATTTACACTGGCTTAAAAACTAATGTAATATTATAGAAAATAATTTACATGTTGGTAATATTAATGTCTAATTATTTAATAATATTGTTTCCTCATAGTAGTTTACAAGGATAGAAAAATTTGTGCTGTATGCACATTTTATTCTTTATGTACAGTTATGGTTTTGTCCTTTTTTGTCCATATTCTATTAGACAAATACATGTTGAGATGTTTAGGTTTCTTCTGTAGCTGTATTGCCAGTTCTGAATATCAAAGAGGGGCTTTAAGAGCAAATAAAAAAAGAAAATTTGGTAAGCTAGTGAACATTTATGCAGGACCTGAAATGGAATATTTAATCACAGAACAATTTACATTGGAAAAGCCTTTAAGGCCATTGAGTTCAACCTTGCCCAGACCACCACTAAACCATGTCCCTATAGTCACATCTACACACCTTTTAAACATTCCCAGGGATGGTAAATCAACCACTTCCTAATCACTCTGTTCTAATGATTTATAAATCTCTGTGATGATTTTTTTTTTCTACAATCTAATCTGATATTAAGAAGCCCATATATTTATGGTAGATATTTATAGATATTTATATCCATGTATGCACCTCTGGAACATGCTGGAGTACCTTGATGTCTAAAGATGCAAAGCCTTTTTAAGCTCTGTAGCTTTGCAGATTCTTAATATATAGTAATATAACTTCCAGTGTTTTTCCTACCCTTATAGTTTAGCTAATTCCTTACTAACACATTTCTGAAATTCTGCTTAGTATTATTTTCAAGAAGAGAACCTCTAATGAGGATATTTTGTTTTGCAACCAGAATCTGAGAGGACATTACAAGAAATAAGGCAAAAAAGCTCCTGGAACTATTCCAAGGGGCAGACCCAAGGAGGCAACTCAATCTCCTCTTGTATGTACCTGCTAGATACAATAATTAATTAACCTTATAAAAATTGTACTAACGTAATTTTGTGCATGTGAAATGCTATATTTTGTACACTTGAAATGTTTCATTAAAGAATTGCTTTTTATCCTACCGCTTTAATTCTGTTGTAAGGGGTTTTTTTCCTTTTGTTACTAGGCAACAACCCCATAGTGGATGGACTGCAGTGCGCTCTAGTGGATAGCAGGAAAGAGAGAGCATTCCTATGTGTTGGTAGAAGACACGTGGTTTGGTTTGTTACACAAGATCACAGCACAGGAGAGGCAAAGAACCTTTCCATGGATGGGGTTCCTAGAGTGTATCATGGGAATTCATTTGGATTCTGTCTGATTCTGGGAAACAGTGGGGCTCTCAGCAATTGATAGCATGTGATTTACTCACTATCTAGATTTTTCTGCCAGCTTCCAATTCTGCTTCACTATTTACTTCCCAGTTTTGCTTACTGTGGTCTGAAAAAACCCCTACAATCTGCCCAAGTCCCTGATGCAGTACACATATCCACAATCAGAAAACATTTCACCCATTTATTAGATCAGTCGTCAGAGTGGGAGCTCCCTTCCAACTATACTGGGATTTTAAACCTTGAAAATGGCCAAATCTATCAGGAGTAGGTAATTAAGCAGTAGAGCTATACAGTGTATTAACATGTTCCTGAACTAGAAGAATAAGGAAATCTGAAATCTAATTTCACTTTTGAACTGGAATTTGAAAACATAATTTTTTTAATCTGAGTCATTCAGAGAAAAATGGAACATTGCTAACATATGCCTTTGAATGTGGCAATGTAGATGGGGATAAAAATTAGATTCAATATTTTCCAGTGTCATCTTATATTATCTGCATCAAAAGTATAATGTAAACTATCTTTTACATTTGCTAGAAATGGATATTTGAAATAACACGTGCGGAATATCTAATATTACTGTACATAATATTTTAATCTCAAAATATGTCAGTATGAGTATATTTATATGTATTTGCATTTTAAACTGTTAAATTAAACTTGTTGATAAAAAAGGGGGGGTTGAGATATTTAATGTTTAGTCTTTGAATAATTTGCCAATCTAGGATACTGCTATCTTGCATCAGTATCAAGTGCTCAATATTACAGCAATGTTCTTGCAGGCTCAGCTCCGTTGCTCTGGACATCTGGCACATATGATGAACAACATGAATGCCTTAAGCCTTTTCTTTATGCCCATTAAATGCTTGGTGAATGGCTGACAGGTAGGCCATTGAAGTCTTGTAAGGACATGCTCAGGGCAAATCCTCCACTGTGGTACCAGCTCCACAAAGCGAGAAGCTACAGCTAAAGACCATCTGTTATAACAAGGATTGTGCACCATTGCCTTGAGATTCTTTGAGAAAAACCTGGAACAACAATGACTCTGTGCTGTACTACTGCTCTGTAGAAATAAAGGCACAGTGCACTTAGGAAGTAAAACTGTGATGTGTTTGACTGCCAACATATGGTGGCAATCTGACTGATTTCTCATCAACCAAGCTACAAAACAGGGAAACTTCAGCTATTAATAAAATTATCATTATATTTTTACAAATATTTTCCCATTCTAAGCAGATTAAATTGCTATCCTCTGTGTTTAAACAGAATAATAAATAGCAATCTTGCAAGCCTAACTCTTAGGCTTTCTAGTGAGTTCTACTAATCAAGCACCAGAATACAAACTGAAAGAGCTGAGGTTTAAATAACAGTGAGAAACACAAGTATTAGGCTAAAGATCTTCAACTAACCAGGATGTACAGTGCTTTATGTTTACACTGAAATTCCATGGCAGTGTATATTTTAAAGTATATAATCGGATACTTTCTGATAGTATTATTTTCCAATAATTTTCAGATACTATTATTATTTTTACTGTTGCTTTCACATATATAAGTTGAATTTCAAGCAATTGAATATTCATTGACATTTCAATCAAAAAACATTAAATTCAATTTAAAAATTGAGCATCTTAAGAATAGATTTTATCTAAAGGAAGAAGGGATGATTTATTTAATTTTATCTCTGTTGCTCTTTCCTACATTAAATATTTTTCAGCAAAATCCAGAAGAGTGAGTAATCATGGCAAGAGCAATATTTTCTTTACATTTAGGTTTAAATTTTCAGTCCTTCAGATCCCAGTGAGCAAAAGAGTTTAAATTTCCTCCTTATGGAGTCAATCATTGTAGTATGAAAACAAGAGACAAGGAGGGAAGATGATGATTACTACCATTCAAAAAGGGTGTAAGTATATGGTGGAAAACTAATCCTTGAGCACTGATTTTAATGTGATGCCTTTTCAGAAAAAAATGTGAAGCGAGTTGAAAAAAGATTAAATATCTTAATGTAAAATTCCAGTAACCCTTTTTAATGTTGATGTATTTTTCAGTCAGAAAGGTTTCAAAAAATAACTTTCACACATCATTCAAATCTACTCCTTAAAAATGGTCAAGATTTTCATTTAAGACTCAAGTTTGACAAGAAAGTCTGTTTCCTAAGTTCCTGGAATATATTTCATTAGACTGCAATAGTCTGATTCTCAGACTCTGAATGCCTGGATTTGGTTGGACTGTTTTATTTCAATCAGATATTAACCATTAGAAGGGTATCTTGCTTACAAACAATTTCCTGGGGCATTTTGGCAGCTGAAGACATACATATAAATTTTGAAAGAAATTATCTGAATTAAGTTACTTGCTTGAGTAACTGAAATGTAGTATTTAGATTTTAAAAAGTTGATTTTTGTGTGAAAAGTGAATTTACACCCCTTTACCCACCCAAAAAGCATTAAATGTTGTCTCTCTAATGGTAATGAGCTTGTAGTAGCTGAGGACATAAAGACCCAACAAGTAAAATTTTGCAGGAGAATATTTACCAGAGCGTGGTTGGGCACTGGAACAGACTACCAGATCAATCACAGAACCAGCCTGACAGAGTTCAAGAAATGTTTGGACAATTCTCTCAGGCATATGCTTTAAGTTGGACTTGGTGATCCCTGTGGGTCGCTTTCCCACTCAGCTTATTTGGTGATTCTGTGATCTTGTGAATGCAGCATCCTTTATATTGGGTCTGCATGGCTGCTTTTTGTCAACAGGGAGGCTACAGGCATGGCTACTTTAAAAACTTCCCACCATGTCTGGCAGCACCAGTGCTAGCTGGCCCCAGGACAGACATGCTGCTGGCCAAGGCTGAGCCAAATAAAAATGGTGGTAAGGACTATATATGTGATAATATATTTAAGAAGAGAAAAAAGAAAGTTATGGTGCAAATGTAATTGTGGCCAGAGGAGAGCAGGGAGAGTATATGTGAGAAGAACAACTCTGCAATACCGAAGTCAGTGGAGAAGGAAGGGGAGTAGCTGCTCCAGGTGATAAAGCTGATGTTCCCCTGCAGCCCCTGGTGCAGACCATGGTGAGTCTGTGATGCTGCAGCCCGTGGAGGATCACAGGAATGCAGAGATCCAGCCCGCAGGTGAGACCCATGCCACAGCAGGTGGATGCCTGAGAGGAGACTGTGACTCCATGGGATGCCTGTGCTGGAGCAGGGTCCTGGCAGGGACCTGCAGACCCATGGAGACAGAAACCCACATTGGATCAGGTGTCCTGGTAGGACTTGTGACCCTGTGGAGGCTCCACACTGGAACAGCCTGTCCTTGAAGGACTGCACTTTTTAAAAATTGTCCCACATTGCAGCAGTTTGTGGAAAACTTGCTCATGGGATGGACTCACATTGGAGAAGTTCATGGAGAACTATCTTCCATGGGAAGGACCCCATGTTGGAGCAGGAGAAGGACACCTCTCCCTGAGCAGTGATAGAAACAACCTGTGATGAATTGACCATGACCCTCATTACCTGTCTTCCTATGCTACTGGGGGGAGAGGAGGTAGAGCTGTGAAGGAGGGAGGCGTGAGGGAAAGGTGTTTCTAAGTTCCTACTTTACTTCTCATTATCTTGCTCAGATTTTATTAGTAATATAATAAATAAATATCTCACAATTTGAGCCTGCTTTGCCCATGATGGCATTTGGTAAGTGATGTCCCCTGGTCCTTATCTCAACCCATGCTTCTTATATTTTCTCTTCCCTGTCCAGCTTGGGAGGGGAGCTGGGTGCTTGGCATCCAGCCAGGGTCTACTCAATACAGCATCTGTGATGTGCCATGGGACAGCTCACCAAGGAGTATAATTTTGAGCAGTTTTGGAGTCTTTTTTTCTATTATTTTTTATTTCCACTTTAATTTTTATGGCTCAAAGAAGGAAGCTTACCACTGCTTATAAAACCACAGCTACTCTGGGTTTGCCTATTTATTCCAAGTCAGTGTTAGACCAGGTAATTTCCACAGCACTTAATTTCTTTCAGCTTGTTTGTCACTGTTCTCAGATTAGATTGATTCTTGTTTTAGAAAGCAAAGCTTTTTAACATTGCAGATCTCATCCCTTGAGTTAAAGCTCAAATATTTTCTCCAGAAGTAAAATGCTTTGGTAGGCTTCTTCTCCATAGAGAATCAGTGTGTTCCAAGAGTAGCACTCCAGACAAGTAATTTACTTATATAAGTCTTATAAATAAAGCAGAAATAGAGGAAAATCACTTAAAAGAAACAAAAAAACCCCTACAAAATATCTTTCTTTACAACACTCTGGCTTATTTTATTTCTTGCAGAAGGTGTACAAGCTGTTGCAGTTGGCCATCTCTGGAAGGCCCTCAAGCTGTTCACAAAAAATTTAGGTAAGTAAAATTAGAAGTTTTTTCCTCCCCTTCTCTTGTGGTTACCCCTCAATATTTTTAAAGTATTTTTGGTGGGTTTAGCTATTTATAAGTCATGTTCCTTGCAAGAGCACAAAAAAAGTTGTGTTTTGGATTCACCTATCTATCCATTAAATCATATTAATGCATAAATGTGTTTTCAGAAAAAGTAACATACAAGTTTTTATCAAGAATAAACAAAATACCCTTAAGTATGTAGTTCTAATAGCAATCAGAATAATTTCATACTGCTGCAATTTGGTTGGTGTCAAATATACATCCTGATCCCATATGGTAGAAGAGGAGACATTTTTCTTTATTTCCAATTTAATTTCACAGAATAACAGACAAAAGTTTGGAAATAAATGTATAAATAATTACAATTATTTGGATAACAAGAGACTGGAACAAAATAAATTTGATCAAAGCTTACATTCCATGTATAGACTAGGTTGCTAATGGTAAGTATAGATATACTAAAGATGAACTTGTGATAGTCCTCAACAGATTGTTTAAAATATGTTCTGTTTAGTGATTTGAAAAACACATATAAACCAGATTAATAGCAGATTGACATACTTACATTTAAAGTGGTGATTAATATGGAATCACATCTAAATTGGATGCTTCAAGTAGAGTTCTGATTGAATCAATAGTTAAGAAGTATCTAGGAAAAACGTTTTTGATGTATTCTTACTTTATAATAGTACTTTGAATGCCAGGCCCCTAAAGACCCACAAAAAGTGATGTATCAGCTATGAAAAAATGTGTAAGAGGGACAAAAAATTATTGTAAGTTAATGTAATTGATAATTGATAATAAAACAATAAATGCAGTAAAATAACCTTACCTTGGATATGAGCAGGGTCTTTAAATACCTTTTGCTACTTAAAGAACCCTGCAACATGTCAACCATTTTATGGAGGGAGGATCCAAACTAATTTTCATATTAAATATGTCACAGATTTTAAGTACTGAACCCTGAAAATAAATTTAAATGAAACAATAATATAGTAACACCTTAATTGCTTGATATATTCAAAGAAAAGTGAGCATTTTTCTGGAGCTTCACTGTCACAAAATATACTTTACTGAGCTTGGTACCAATTGGAAAAATGCAATATCTTGTGATATGAGCTCTTCATATTGTGTGGCCCAGTGCAGTATTGCAGTTTTAAATTTTTAATGAAAATAATGGCTTGGCTATAGAGGAACAGATACTGATGTATGATATTTTAAAAATGACAACAAACCCCACAACAAAAAAACAAACTGACCCCCTAAAGAAGAAGGATAGTGCACACTGACAATTAAGAATGTTGTTCATCATGCATGTAGTGATGTCATTTTCCAGTTGTTGGTTCTCTTGATTGTTAGATATTCAGATTTATCCAAGGTAGGTAAAATACCATTTTTTAATTTACTTTCCTCTGAGTGAAACTAATGAGAATACGTGTCTCCATAAATATACCAAATAATTCATATATAAAATATTGCTCTTCAAAGATAAATAGTAAAATCATTTAGTTTTTAAGAAAAAGAGTAAATTCATGAACTCAGTTTGCACGTGACCTTTAAACCTTAGAAATGTGCAAATAAGCCTTTTAGACAAAGAATCTGATACCTAAAGAAATCTCCCTCAAACATCTGGTGCAAAATCAATGTTTATCAATGTGCAAATAAAGAATTGATGTTGCTAACAGGTTTAATATTTTAAGTAATACTGCAGAATTGGGTTTTTAATTTGCAATAGCTTCTTTGTCATAAAAAAGATGTAGAGCATTTCTGCATTTTTAAATTGCTGAAGACTTGCTGATACGTTAGGAAAGTGCTAATTTTTAATTAAAATTAAAATAAAGTTTAAATTTTCTTTTAATCTTTAATGGTTAAGCAAGTTTGTATATCAATATCAATGGCTATAAAACTTTAGCCATATATTGGGCCATATGCACTGTATCACTCTTAGTTCCCATCTAACTTTGAAGTTAAATGCTGTTGATTGAAATCTTGCCTATACCACTCCACTCATGCATTTATGAAGGCAAAGTTACACCTCCAGAATCCTGACAGTTTTCAGTCTGAGACAAAATAAATATTTGTATAAAACTTTTTGATAGAAATACAGAAAAAAAAATAATTTAAGGTACCGATTAGATTCAACTAACTAAATATTATAGGTATTTTTTAATGTAGAGTAGAAGTAAAGCTGATTTTCAGTGTAGTTGTCTTCTTCTCCTCAGTATTTTAGCATTAATAGTATTTACTTTTTAGGAACCAGGCTAAAAAGTTCATCAGACATTAGAAACTAACCTTGTGGATTTTCTCATGGGTTTTTTTGATTGGTTGGTTTATCGGTTGGTTTGGTTTTAATGGGTTTTTTTTTCTTATTTTCCGAGGGTTTTTTTTTATTTTTTGTTTGTTTGTTTGTTTTTGGTTTTTTTTGTTGTTGTTTTTTGTTTTTGTTTTTATGGATTTTCCAGGAACATGTCTCAAAGATCAAGTAGCTTCTATTTCAACAAGGACACTTTATAATGGTTACCATGTTGTCTAAAGTTAAGAATACCTCACAGTCACAGAGGTTTTAGCCTGGTTTCAACAAGGGACTTATTATCAAGTCAATATCTACCACTTTTGTACTAATTTCTTTTCAGTCTCCCTTTCCCCTTCTCCCAGGTTCTATTTGCCTTTTATTTCTACATATTTCCCTAGACAACGTTCTGTTGCTGATACAGCACTACATCTGCAACCAAGGGACTAAAATATAGATCAATCTCTTAAAAAAGTTAATCCTTCATATTACCCACAAAGTCAGAGGGAGAAAAACAGTACAGTTGAACTGAAAAGGCTTATGTTAGAAGGCATCAATCCAGTCAGCCCTCAGCAAAACGCAGTAGGTAGTAGCAGGATTAACTGTGCTTGACAGGGAGTTGGCTGATGTATTCTGAGGCTGCTCTTGGCCACCTTTGAAATGTTGTTCAAGTGTGAGACATGCCTGAGAACTGGGTATATTGGGTTTGTGTCCAAGACCTTTTTAGTCGAGGGTGGGGGAGCTGCAGAAGGTGCTGTGTGAAGGTGCCAGAAATTTCCTCTGAGTCCAAAAGAGCCAATGCCAGACAGCAAGTGTAGAATTTGAAGAGGAAGGAGCAGCAGAGAAAAAGATGAACTGAGCACAGTCACCATTCGTCATCCCCCTGTCCCACTTAGGAATAAGGAGTAGAGAAGCCAGGAGCGTAGCTGAACCCAGGAGGTCAAGATTTTTTAAGATTTGTCTTTCCTTCTCATTATCCTAGTCTGATTTTCAAATGACAATAAAATTAATATCCCCCAAGTTGAGCCTGTTTTGCCAATTTACAGGAATTGGTGAGAAATCACCCTCTATCACTATCTTGATCCAGGACACTTTCATTATATTTTCTCTTCCCTGTCCAGCTGAGTAGGGGGAGTGTTAGGCTGGCTTAGTAGACACCTGGTAGCCAGACAAAGTTAACCACCATCTGGAGGAATGCAAAAGCCTTATGTTTTATATCTTCAAGAAGAGTAAGAGGACCCATGGGAAACACAGATCAATCAGCCTCACCTCAGTCCCTATGAAAGTGATGTAGCAGCTAATCCTGGAAAACAATTCCATGCCAATGGAGGAGAAAAAGACAATAGTAGTTGGCATGGATCCAAAAAGAATCATGCTTGACCAATCTGGTAATATTCAATGAAAAAACTGGCTTGGTAGATGAAGGAGAGCAAAAAAATATTGCTTACTTTGATTTCAGAAAAGCTTTCAGCGCTACATTTCATAATATTTTCAGGAAAACTGATAAAGGATGGGCTGGGTAAGAAAACAAGTGAGGTGTATTAAAAACTGGCTGAATGGCCACATCCAGAGGGTGGGGTTCAGTGATATGAAGGAAGCCAGTAACTATCAGCATACCTCAGAGTTACACACTGGGTCCAATCCCATTCAAAATGCCTTCATTAATGCTCTGGATAATGAAGCAGAGTGTACCCTGATCAAGTTTCCTGAAGACAAAAAACTGTGAAAAGTGTCTGATACACTAGAGAATTGTGCTACACTCCAGAGGCAGGTTGGAGAAATAGGCTGTAAGGAACCTCAGGAAGTTATTGTGCATGGGAATCTAAGTCCTGCTCTTGTGGAGAAAAAACACTATGCAGCAATAATGCTGGGGACAGATCGGCTGGAAAGCAGCTTTTTAGGAAAGGATAGGGAGATTCTAGGGAACACTGAACACAGGCTAGCAGTGTGACCTTCTATGTACAGTGTGCCTTGCAGAGGTATCAAATGGTACACTGAGCTGCATTAAGAGGAGTGTTGCCAGCAGGTCAGGTGAGATAATCCTTCCCCTCTGCTCAGCACTAGGAATCACCTGGAGTGCTGTGCTCCGTTCTGAGCCCTCCAGAACAAGAGACACATGGCCGAGTCCAGCAAAAGGCCACGAAGAAGATGAAGGGCCTGAAGCACCTGAAGAGACAGCAACCTGAAGACAGGCTGTGAGAGCTGGGACCATTTATTCTGGAGAAGGCTCAGGGTAGATCACATCTGTGGATGCAGGTCCCTGGTGGGAGGAAGTAAAGAAGATAGATCTAAGCTCTTTTCAGCAGTGCCCAGTGACAAGACAAGAAGCAATGCATCCAAACCGAAACACAGGAGGTTCCATTTGAACATCAGGAGACACTCTTTTACCATGCAACTTACTGAGCACTGGCACATGTTTCTAGAGATGTTTTGGAGTCTTCCATGGCCACTGTAAAATTGAAGTGACTTAATTTTATTCAGTCAAGTTACTAATTTCTATTTTGGATTAGCTCTCATATTTGAAGGAAAGTATTTAAGGACATGTCATGGTTTTTTTAGCTACCCCATGACAGGACAAAATAAAAATAACCTTTTAACAGTAATTATAACCTTTAACAGTAATTATAGATGGCTTTTCTAGGCTTTTGCATAAAACATATCGGATAGTTTCTTTACCTGAAAATAGGTAATTTACTTTCATTGTTTTAAGCTTATTATTTACTTTCTGTTTAGTACTTTCAGCTCTTATCTTGCTGATTTATTAGAGGTCTGCTTTAGAGGCTTGAAGCAAACCTTGTCAGAACATTCAATTTAAGCTCACTTGAACCCTGTCATACTTCCATGGCTTTCAATATTTCATCATTGTCAATGAATATGTGATTTATTTCAGAAAAACTGTTTTTGTGCATTAGAAATTTTAAAAGCTTTTTTTAAAAAAGTATTTTCTTTCAATACTTGGAAATGAAAGATTGATCTCAATAAAACATAGTCAAAACAGGTAGAAAGTGACTTTTCTATGATTTAAAAATCTTAAAAAAGAAACAAAATCTGAAAACTATTACAAAGAAAAAGAAAATAGAACAAAATCTAATGAGAAATTTTTACATCAATGAAATTTAATAGGCAATATAGTTACTGAGTAGCACATTTTGTGACCATTCACCATACATATTCTCAATGTCAGGCAAGAGTTAACAGTGAGCTATTCAGACTAGTGGTTAGGATGTTTTGGTGTTTTGGGGAGCCCTGGATTTCCTCTCATTCTAACCTTTCATTCTCCTAGGCATGTTCTTTGATTATATTTATAAAGCAGGTAAATGAATTCTACAGTTATTGGACATTGCTGAAGGTTATACATTGTATTAGCTTTTCAACCAGCTTTCTAAAATAATTATTACCTCTGTCTTGTTTTCTTTTCTAAATTGTCCTGGTAATTCCTTCTTATGAAATCTCACTCCTGTTTTCATTTTAATTTTTCATTTGGAGTCTTTCATCTAATGGCAAAAAGAAAAACAGCTTGTATTACTCTGTAAAAGATTTTGACCTTTATTATTCTGTCCTGTCATCTAAGGATAAAGACTACTTCTTCTGTATCAGCTCAACACTTCAAGGTGCTGTTATGGACTATTTTGTCAATGATTCACAAATTAAAGACTCTGCTAGAAGTCTTTGACATGATAAGACATAAAAGGTATAATAGAGATATTATGGACAATCATGTCAGTTAACAGCAGTGCTCCACTGGGATTCCACTGGGTAAAAAAAGCAGGACTGAATCAAATGAAATCATATATTTGATAAGGAGGAAATAAAATAAGTAGAACTCATTTCAAGCTTCACGGGGAGGATATGCTTGTCCTGACACCTTACAACTAAATAAAAAATAACTGAAATTCCATCATATAATTTTGTAACTTCTGCTCAACATGTGAATGGGTTTTGGGACTGACTATGCAAAATCTCTCTTTAAAGGGTAACTGCAGCTAGTAATGAATACTCTGGAAAATCTGTGTCCCAAATTATTTATAAACCTGGACTTTTGCCCTTCATTTATATGTTCTTATAGATAATCAGTTCACCCCAAAGTGAATTCTTTCCTCAGTGAAGAGGAGAGCAAACAGACAAAACTAAACCAGCACTACTCCTAGTATGTAACTCTGTGTAACTGAAATGCACAGCTCTTTTCCAGAGGGATGAGCAGTTTTTATTGAAGGACATAAGCACTGGATCTTTAGAATTATTTAGACTGTATAACTGTTCTCTGCAATCTAGCCTAGGAAATAAGTGTGTAAGCAGAATCTTTCTGCTTGCTTTTGTCACACACCACTTCGTAATCAGCACATTCTGACAAACACTGATCCATGACTTTCTGATTTTTAAAATAATTCCATAGGAAAGTTGAAAAAATAAGGCCTTTTCTTTACAAGGATTCATTAAGTGAATAATTTATTCCGTTGTATTACCAGTTTGCAATTGTTAGACCCTACAGAATATTAGATATTAGATGTATATTAAAGTACATTAAAGTTTCTGTAAGACATTTTCAAATTGCACCCATTTTTTTGGTAAATACTGTAAGTACCTTTTTTGAAAACTGTGACATTTTTTTCTTGTTTTATCAAGTTTATGAAACACCTGACAGTCCCTTTACTTTCTTTACTGTCTTCTGTCTTTATTAATACAGTACTGGGTTTTCATGGCCTGGTTTTGGTAGTGGGGGGCAAAAGAGGTGGAGAAGCTAACAAAAGCTTATGTCTGGCAAAGCCAATGCCAGTTCCAGGATGGGCATGCTGCTGGCTAAGGCTGAGCCAGTCAGAGATGGTGGTAATAATTGTGTAATAGCATATTTCAAAAGGAGGAAAGAAGTTACTGTGCAGATGTAACTGCTGCCAGGAAAGAGCAGAGTGAGAACATGTGAGAGGAACAACTCTGCAGACACCCAGGTAAGTGGAGAAGGAGGGACAGGAGCTGCTTCAGGCACCAGAGCTGAGATTCCCCTGCAGCCCATGGTGGACCACGGCAATGCTGAGATGCACCTGCAGCCCATGGGGAAGCTGTGGATCCACCTGCAGCCCTGTGATGGAGCTGGATACCTGAGAGGAGGCTGTGACCCTGTGGGAGGCCTGTCTGGAGCAGGATCCTAGCAGGGTCCTGCAGACCTATGGAGAGGAGCCCATGCTGGATCAGGTTTCCTGGCATGACTTGTGGGGGACCCACACTGGAACAGCCTCTCCTTGAAGGACTGTAGCCCATGGAAGAGTGACCTGTGTTGGAGCAGTTTGTGGAGAACTGTTGCCCATGAGATGGACTCATGTTGAAGAGGTTCATGGAAAACTGTCTCACATGGGAAGGACCCCATGGTGGAGCAGGGGAAAGACTCCTCTCCTTGAGCAGCAGCAGAAATAATTTGTGGTGAGCAGACCATAACCCCCATTCCCTGTCTCCCTGTGCTGCTGGGGGAAGAGGTAGAACTGTGAAGAAGGGAAGGGTAGGGGCAGGGTGTTTGTAAGGTTATATTTTACTTCTCATTATCCTGCTCTGATTTTGCTGCTAACACATTCAGGTAATAACCCAAATTCAAGCCAGTTTTGCCTGTGACAGTATGTGGTGAGTATGTGGTGAGCCATGTCTCCTGGTTTGTTTCTCAACTTGTGAGCCCTTCATTATATCTTCTCGCCTCTGAAAGTGAAAGAGGTTCCTTGGTAGGTAGGAATCAAATGTCCAGCCAGGGTCAACTCATTACAGAGGTAAAAGTGTTCCAGGACTTTTGGAGATTAATTCTACTGAAATAGCTATAAATGAAATCTGGTTAGTATTTTACCATTTGTATATGGAGAGAAGGCATCCTGGAACTCTTAACATTTTCCCTGGGGGGAAAAAACTAACAACTTGTTGGTAATACAAATTAAAGACATAAAGTAACTTAATTGATTACTTAATATAATTAACTATATAACTTAAATAAATAATTTAAACAAAAAGAAGGGGAACTTTTAAGCTTGTGAGAAGTGGGAGAACCCAGGATATTGCAGGACTAGGAACAGTGACTACAATTCTTTTCTGCAGGGACATAATTAATGAAACCGAGAATATATCTCCAGGGATCAAATATTTGAGACTGTTTTGCTATATAAAATTCCCTGCTGTGAAGTGAAAGAAGAGATGACTTTAAGACGGACTCATTTTTCACCAATATTGTGTATTGTGAGGATCTGTACTTCAACAGGTGAGATATTATCAAAGACTGATTCTAGTGCAGTACAATTTTCATACTGCTGGACTCCCCTAATAACTTTGTCAGGATAGATTATGGGGTTTTCTATACTCTTAAAATTAATATTTATCAGTAAATGAAAAATTATTAACATTTTTCCCTAGTCTATTCAAAGAAATAATTTCTGTAATGTACCACCCTATTTTTAATCTTCTTCAATGCCTAAGAATTTACTTAGATGAAAATAGATCTATTTCCAGTGGTCTACAATTTCAATGTATAATATATTTAATCCTGAATGTTAGGTGTGTACCTGTATTTTTGCATAGGTATATTTACCTATTTAACAAATCTGTTAAACAAATCTGTTATGACCTTTCATAGCTGTGAAAACTCATTAAATAGATAAATTGGCTCCTGAAATAAATGAGGCTTCAATGTAAAGTCTTTTCCTATGGTCCTTGATGCACTAGTATGTTAAGAAGCAAAGAAAAAACAAAGCTGTTGTACATTTCTCAGTACTCCAATGCAATAGCAATGAGGCCTTCTGCTTTATCCACTTTTTGTCTAATGTGCATCCTAACATCACAAAGCAAGAAGGTTCTTTGGGATTAAACCTTTCAAATAATACACACAGATGTTCAAATTGCCTCCTACGATAACATCAGGTTGCATATGCTACAAAATACTAATTACAGCCCAGAGGAATAATTCTTTAAAAATTGACCTCATAAATTTTTCTTAAGGGTTCGAAACTAACAATCCTTTGTAGTTTATGATTAACTGTATGCATAAATGAATAGTAATAAAATGGTTACATATTTTCTGAAGCCTACTAACATTGCCACATGAAGAATAATGCATTATTCATCGCTTCTATTCTGAAAACACAGAGACATTTAGGATAAAATGTTTTACTGCAGTACCTATATTTTAAAGGAATAACATGTATTGTTTAGAATTCTACAATGCCATAGAAAAAAATCAAGATCTTTTTTATTTCTTTTGGAATAAATACATATTAGCAGAAAGAAAATGATATGACCACTATATTCAAATTTTAAATACTTTTCTGATTTAAATTCCTGGTTTTGAAAGAAACGCAGATTTGCAGCAATAAATTTTGTTATAGCATTTATAGTTAAAAAAAAAATCCCAAACATGAAGCAAAACCTTTTGATATCAAACATTTTTTTTTCCTAAAAGACTGAAAGGTGTCATTTCTGAAGTCAAGAGAAAATTCTGCTAAGGAAGTTGTCCACTTTCTGCAAAACATACAAGAAACAATGAAGTTATACAGAAAATTTATTTAACTAAATTCACAAAAAACAAAGCAGAATCCACATGAAATCTGTGCTC